AAAAAAAAAAAAAAAAAAAAAAGTAAAAAAAATTGTTTCCTAAAAAATCATTTTTTTCATCAAAGTTTAGTGTTCGTTTGACTTTATTTTACATGGAAATTGTCCATTAAAGTGAAATTTTTTTTTACCATTGGTTATGAAATTTGTTTCCATTACCACAAAAAAAAAAAAAAAAGTCAGAACCTGAAAAATGATTTTCCCACCAAAATGGTGAGAAATCATTTTCCACAATTTCAAGGAAACAAGGCGCGTGAGCTGAGTCCCAAGAAAATTAATTCCAACCTACTTTTTGCCATCAAACAAGACAAATTGCCTAGAAATGGAATACATTTTCCTTTTTCCCAAGAAAATTTGTCTTGTCAATCAGGGCCTAAGATCTTTAATTAAAACAAAAATAGATGGAGTGATAAGAGTAAATCTAAAAATAAAGTAAAACTAAGCAATGCTATTACTTGGAAAGTTAGGTCATTTCATTAAGGATTGTTATAAGAAAAAAATGAAATAAAGTAAAAGAGATTTGATGATGGGAATGCTACCTTAGTCTATAATAAAGATAAGGTTGAAGATAGGTTGGTCCTTATTAATATGGAAAAGAAACTGAATGATGAATGTATACTTAATTCGGATTGTTCTTTCCATATGTGCTCAAATAAGAACTATTTTCTTGAATTGGAAAAGACTAATGGTGGGAAAGTTATAATGGAATAACATGACATGTAAACTGAGTGAATAGGAACTCGAAAATGGTAATGTCCTATTTCTAAAAGGAACTAGATATTTTTCAAATTTAGAAAGGAATCTTGTGTCTCTAGACATATTAGATGACATGGAGTTTGACATAAAATTGGGTCAAGGACACGTTAAGATTCTTACAGGCATTGTTCTATTCATTAGCATCCCTAAGAGACATGGTCTTATTTTTTTTAAAGCAAAACCCTTACTTGGTTTGACTGCAGCTCCTTTAACTGAAAATTCTACTCTTACAAAGTCGTGGCATGAAAAACTTGGCTATATTGAAAACAAAAGTTTGAAATCTTTACAAAACATTTGAAAATTTAAATCTAAGCGATATTGGTTCTTGTGAACAATGTATTATAAGAAAACTAATCAAATTACCTTTGTTATCTAGATTATTTGCATGCTAATATATGGGTCCTGCTTCTACGAGTACATTATCTGGTTTTTGATACTATCTTCTGATAATTAATAATTTTTCAAGAAAAATCTAGGTTTTCTTATTAAAATCAAAATATGAAACTCTTTCTATTTTCAAATATTGGAAAACATAAATTGAAAACCAAATGAATCATGAGATAAAAGTTCTAAGGACGAATAATGATTTTGAATTCTATAATTATGAATTAACAATTTTTGTAAAGAGTGTGGCATTTTAGACAAAAATGTTACCTATACATATCAAAAAAATGGTCTACTTGAAAGAATGAGTAGAACTTTATTAAATAGGGTAACATGAATGCTTTTGAGTTCTCATTTAACTAAATTAGTTTAGGGTGAAGTTGTGAAAACTGTTGCATATCTTCTTAATAGAAATCCTACTAGTGCCTT